TATCCTTTTTTAATGTTTCAAAAGAATGCAAGGTTCTACGGTATTTAAACAGCAACTCACACAACCGTAATGTGTATCTAATTGCCGAGTACGAACATTTTTTCAATGTCATCAAATTAACCAAAGAATTCAATGTAATGTAAAAGTCTGTATACTAAAACCTTAAAATTTAGAAATGTATATATGTAATAATATAACCACAACAAAAAAAAAATGCAAGTAGTACTTGTTTTTCTAAAATTTAAAGGAAAAATCTTAAGGTAAATTATCTGTACTAAAATGCTATGAGTATGGGGTACTTCGGAACTGTTATATTGTATTTCCTTAGTATTTATGTGTGTTATTTAAAGTTAAATATTTATTGGGTATTGAATATTATTTTAGTAGATATAAATCATTCATTAGTAAACTTCGTAATCTATATATTTTACTGAACTTAAAATTCTCATTTCGTTTGGATATGTTGGAGATGTTGTGGGTATCATTAGAAGTTAATAGAGATTTCCTGTTTTTTTTGTACTAGTATTTTTGTAATAACAATTATGTGTTGAGAAAATTTTTGGCATATCGGTAGGGCTTTTTTATTTAGTTGTAGTAGATATATATCTATTTTATTCCAAAAACTCTAATGGTGCTTAAAAAAAGCGGGGAGTTTTTAAAACCCCGTATTAGGATCGAAACCCTTTAACATATTTCGTATGAAATTACAAAAACAACTACTTTGTATGAAGAACGTATTTTATATTTTCTTTTTTTTTAAAATATCAGAGAGTTATATTTTGTTTTAAAAAATAAAAGTTATTCTTGGTTATTATATTTATAAGTCAAAAATAACAGTTATTTGTGCGTTTTAAAATAAAAAGCAGAGTATATGTTAATAATTAGTTTTGATGAATATAATATATAAAGTAAATTTAACGGTGATTTTTTTTTTTTTTTTTTGATGATAAACTGTTACGATCTCTGATTTTTAAATCAAAATAACAGATTATCGAGTGTGGAAAAATAAAAAGGCATATTGGATTATAATTATTTTTGATAAATATAG